AATACTAAGATCATTAAACATCTTCAGCTTCTCATTGTCAATAAATTAATTGCCATCAGGATTTTTCTGGGAAAATCAAATTAAATAGAATCAGTTTAAGTCAGACTCACAACTCATCGRTGTTTCTAGGAAATGTGAAGTATTCATTGATGATTCTTTAGTAGTATCAGATATAAAATATGCAATATGTGTTTAATGTTTTAACTGAATATTCATCAAGAAATTTTTGAGACTTCGTCAAGCCTTCCATAAGTTTCGATCAAAAATCACAAGTTTTGGCGACTTTAGATAAATAATAAATAAATGCATGGGTAAAGCATTTACTACTCACTTCTCAACAATTGCAGGCAAGCTGAGAAATTTGTTGCCTGACATGCCTTTTGACATCGCTAACCTGAGTAACGTTATAAAAAATGTCAAGTCACTTTTTCTTATTCAAGTGTTTTTGGCATGAGCTCTGATCTATTGATAGTTTAATCGCGGCTGTTATTCGGTCAATTTTCGTGAAATTTGGATGTATAATAAACCTAAAAGGATGTTCCGGATTTTCGATTTTTGCTTTACTTCTTGAGATATAGCCTCTACTTTGAAAAAAATTGGATATATCAACAAAGTTGAAATGGTAAATTGGCCACCGTAATGATTACAAAAGCTGACGTTTCGAGCGCTAGCCATTCGTCGGAGTGAATAGAGGAATTGTGGGTTAAATGTACTTTTAAAGGCAGAAAATGGAGCTACGTTATTGGTAGGAGCATGGCGACGAGAAAAACAGGAATAAATTAGAAGAAGGAAAAGCGTTCGTTGATCCCTGTGGGATTTAGACTGCCGGTTTGAAAGATGAGCTTTTGTTCAAGATTATACGGCTTTCCGTGCCACCTAAGTGCAAGGAAAGACCGCAGATTGCCATATGTTGCTTAGAATGATTAGGTACTTTGAAAACTTCGCTCAAAAGCGCTACTTTCAAGTTAAAAGGATGGCTAAAAAATAACGAGGTGTTAAAATAAAAATATTATACTCGTTTTTTCAGATCAACACGTGTAGGTCACGTTCCGATAAGATAGAAGCGTGTTTGTTAAAATGCGTCGTCAAAAAAACATATGTTGTAAAATGTCTCGGCATGAAAGAATAAGCTTCAACTCTGTTCAGTCATAAAATTAGATTAAATATCCGAAATCAGTGTATATTGAGCTTTAAGAAAATGTTTATTTTTACTGGGATAGCGCGCATTATATCTCGGTTGGATTGAAAACGCTGATTTTCCTTCTTTCATTTATAGTGGCCTTCAAAGTAACTTCCGCGCATTTAAGTTGATCAGCTAGGACGTAGATAAGATTGCTTTTCATTATTTCGAGTTACAAAAACTGAGGCAAGTTCTATTAATTAAGTTAAACAAAATTAAGAACACACAAAGGCTACGTGCGTTATGTATATTATTCCCTTCTTGTATTTACAGCTTGTTTCACTTCTATATTTAGCTACGGAAGCACCTGCCTTATTCCAACCAAATAAAGGCCAAAAAATGTTAGAAAATAACAGTTGTTTACCGCTTTTAGAAGTTGGCTCTCTCTAGAGCTTAACATGTTACGCTGGATTTCGCACCCAATATCTGAGTTTGAATGAAAACGGTGATTTTCCTTCTTTCAGTCATATCGGCCTTTTAAGTAATTTGCGCGCATTTAAGTTAATCAGTCACGACGTAGATAGAATTATTCTTCATTATCTTGAGTTACAAAAAATGAGGCAATTTCTATTAATTAAGTTAAAAAAAAANTCCGATTAACTTTCACCCACTTTTGAGTGCAATGAAGATCTTTTTTTCGAGGGCACAGGAGTGCGGGAAAATATTTATAGCCTGTACTTCTTAGGTAAAGTGTTCAAAATCGTTGCCAATGATAATACGAGTTCTCTTAAGAGATAGTTGATCCTTTTTAAGGAGAGCAACGATAAAAGTGACACTTGCTAAGCTGTCAATCCTCATGCATCAGTAGAATATTGGTAGAGCGCTGCTCTAGTATCGCAGAGGTCAGTGGTTTGAATCCCGCACAGGCTTGATTTTTTTCAGGTCTGATTTTCGCTCTTGAATAAATAGCGCTGTCTACTGCAAGGATCGTGCATCATACGTATCTAATACCGCAGTTCAAAATATATGAACTTCATATATTTATTGTATCTGAACATCAAACAGCTTTAAAATGTACACACTTACATAATACACCTTATTCCAAAATGGCGGCTGCCTCAGATGATCTGGGTCGAGTTGCATGAAAACGAGGCATCGTGGGCCAAACTGCGGTGTTTACAAATGCTAATACGTCGGGATACGCTGTCATGCCTCAGAATTGTTGTGTACCAAGGTGTAAAAAGACGGTTTGTGTCGAAAACGGGGTAAAGATTTCTTTCCACACATTTCCTGAAGGAAGAAAGTTATTTATGAAATGGATCGTCGCTATTCGAAGAGAGATAGGCAAACATTTCCAAGTGACAACTCACAGAGAGTTTGCCCGAGACATTTCAAGCCATCGGATTATTTTCCCTCACTTGTGAGGCGTAAAAGGACTTCAAAACCAACAGTAGTACCTTCTGTATTTTACTGGAAGAAGAGATCCCCAGAATATTTACAGACTTTCATCATCAAAGCCAGGATATGGTTGCAGAAACCTGTCTTTCCAGCAGCACAACTTGGCCCACAGTAGGCATATTCTACATCTCCAGAAACATTGCAGAGCGCAAGTTTCAAGTTATGTGGTTCCTCGCGGACTTTGAAACTGTGGAAGCACTTCGCGCGATAATAAAAATAACTGATCTTGTAGAGTCTGCATCTCGTGAAGGTATTCGTCAGCCAGAAAAGCCTTGGCTTTTCGAAGTCCTGTAGGCAACGAGTGATATTCGCTGTTTTGGTACTTTTTTCCTGAATTCACAATATGTATGTCCATTTTCGCAGAAGCAAATGATGGACTTTTTTCAAGTGCTGTCGCCCATCCATCAGTAGGAAAAGCTACCTTTTTGTGTTGTCGGAAGGGGCTGACAAGTTCGGCGTGTTCGGATCCAAAGCATCTTCAAGGCCAAGGAGTCGCCTTTTTCATCTGGTATAAACAAAATTTACATCGGGGTCGACAAGAAGATATTCGATCTTCGCTTCCGAGTAGTCATTTACCCTGAGAGAGTATGAAGCGATTGAGAATCTAGGCCACGCAAAGCAACGAAGGTTATTGTGGACTCCACGCTTACCGCTTACAAAGTTGCGCTTTTGTGAACAATCCTTTGCACGAATCGCCACGACACTTTAACCAAAACTTTAACCCGGAGTTCTTTAATCAATTCGTATCTCTTCCATTAAATGAACTTTCAGGAATATCGTCCTCCGTCAAAAACGAAGGACAGTACACAAGGTTGTCTCGAAAGGACGCCATGATATTGTGTTCCGTAAATATTCTGGGGATCTCTTCTTCCAGAAAAATACAGAAGGTACTGCTGTTGGTTTTAAAGTATTTTTACGCCCCGCGAGTGAAGGAAGATAATCCGATGGATTGAAATGTCTCGAGCAAACTCTATGTACGTTGTCACTTGGAAATGTTTGCCTATATCTCTTCGAATAGCGACAATCCATTTCAAAAATAACTTTCTTTCTTCAGGAAATGTGTGGAAAGAAATCTTTACCTTGTTTTCGACGTAAACCTTCTTTTTACACCCTGGCACACAACAATTCTGAGGCATGACAGCGTATCGCGACGTATTAGCATTTGTAAATACCGCAGTTTGGCCCTCGATGCCTCGTTTTCATGCAACTCGACCCAGATCATCTGAGACAGCCGCCATTTTGGAATAAGGTGTATGTTGTCTCTTAATTTCAACAAGAAACAAATAACAACAGCAATAGTTGTAATTACTACCATGTATGCGTGGCTTGCTGGTAAAGGGTTAATAATTGGAGTAGTTTTTCTCGAAGTCATCCGAGATTCACCTACTCTCTTCTCTTCTGAAATATCAAATTAAGGCATCCAAAATCACTGTGTATTTTTCTGGATCAACATTATCTCTAAAACCAGCTGATAAATTTAAATGTTTATGGAAAAATTCAAGGAAAGCAAGCTACAGCAGCCAAAATTAAAAATTCTTAGTTGATCCCATAACTTTTCTTTACTTAATTTTTATTCACGGTCTGCGATGGGTCGGGGGCAAATGATGGAGCTTCTGGTTTTCTTACTCTCCTGACTCGATGGCATAAAAATCAGTTAATTGTAGTTCACTTTACATCTCGCCTGAACTTGTTCTTTAAGATCTCGGTTACACAGGATACGTCGATTCCATCTTACACAGAAACCAAGCAAATATTCATTTATTAGATTACCGCATGTGGCTTCTGTCTTAAAATTTGTTCAACGTCGATAATTAAGAATTTTCCAATGGTGTTGTACTGTTTCAACTTCCAATAAAGTTAACACCTGCATCAACATCTCACTCAGTTAATGATATGTTTTAGAAATGGCGGTCATGGAAAGTTTCTTCCTCTTCCTATTTCAAGGACTCGCCATCCTTTTTGCTAAAGAAGACTCGACGCATTCTCGTTCAGCGTTATTCGCCACTAAGGAGAGCAAGCGCCTTGATGGTAATGCTGTGAAACAGTTTCGATCTCCCACTCAAATATCATGCAGTCTTTCATGCCTCAAAAACTCCTGGTGTACTTCAACAAACTTCGAAGAACCATCCAAAAAGGACGATAAAGGAACTTGTGAACTGAACAGGCATGGGATCCTCGACGGAAATGCCCAGTTTTCTGATCAAAAAGGCTTCATTTTTTCTATGATGCTCAAGGTATAGTTTTGTTATTGCTTTTTCCCTTGTTTTTGTTTTTTATTTCGTTTCTTTGTTTTTTTGTTTTTTTTCTTTCCTTAACACGTACAAGAAGAAAGAAGTTGTTATTTTCAATTGTAAAGGAGCATCGCAATTTCATTTATATTGGTTTGAAATTTCCATGATTTATCGAGTGGTTACATACATGGAAACAACTGCAGCTGAACAAGAAGAGTTCTACTCTATTTTGTGAATTAAAAATGCCTGTTAAACGACAATACATGTTTGCCTTTTTAGGGATGTCTCATGACAGGCTGTCGTAATGGTGGTTCTTGTTTGTTTCACGAGAAGAACCAAACGTTTTCATGTTCCTGCATACATCCGTGGACCGGAGATGACTGTCAAATTATTGGTACGATTGCATTTATTTCTAATTTTTTTTTTTTTTTTTGTAAAATCTGCAGAACACGCCGAAGTAATATAAGTGCTCAATGGAGCCGAACATGTAAATAGCCGCTCCTCAAGCAAAATCCAGCTGGCTGGCGCATCTTAGAATAAGACAGAACTCTTTCACTCTCTGGACAAAAAATGAAATAACAACAGCTTTTGAAAAAACTTCATAACGGGAATTGAAACCGGAATCGGTTCTAAATACAGAATATTTTGTTCCCCTTAGGTCATGATCCAAAAGTTCATGAATATGCTGTCGCCACTAAGTATAAAATACGAGAAAAATAGCTTTTAATGAGGAATATATACACCCGTGAAAAATTATAGCCAGCGCNCTTTCAAACATACCTTCTTTTCAACTGAAAATTTTATCTCTGCTACGCAAAACTACTAAAGTACCGTAATGATTCGATTTTTGATTTCGAGGGCGCCTATTTACTCTTGGGTTACCTCAAGGGAGGGCGCTTACTGGAACTGAGGTTGCTTAAAAATGTAAGTTTCTTTTTTTGAGAGACAGCAGAATGTGAAACAAACTTCGAGTCTTATTTGAAAAGGATAGAAGAGATTGGAAACTGAACGAACTTGTTTCACCCCTGGATCATTCCTTGCTGAAACGACTATAGCCAAGCAATCGCCGCAACATTTTAAGAGTCGGTATCTTTCGTTTGAAGGAACTTTGTAATGACATAGTAGCTGAGAAACTAAGACCAAGACCACTGTTTTTGTGATAGGAATTTACCTGACCAATTAAAAAAGGAAGATCGGCTGATCTCAATGCACATCTACTCTGTACAATGCTATGCCTGAAACCGAAAAAGAGCGTTTATTGGAATAGGGGGCACTTATGCTATAGGGATGCTTATCAAAACGAGGGTGCATTCTAAATAGAGATGCCTATTAGAATAGAGGCGCTTATTAATGAAAAAAAAATATTCAACGTTGGGGGCGCTTATTAGAGAGGGAGCGCTTATTGGAAGGAGGGCGCGCGCTAAGTCGAATCATTACGGTACCCAAGCGCAAAGGCTTACGGACTAACACTAGACCACGAAAATAAGTGAACAAAACAGGAAATTCGAACTACGTCGAAGGACACCCATGATCATTGAATTTTAACACCAGAAAAGTTAACATTGCAATCAAGGTTTAAATTTCACTTGCTAGATTAATACCTGCTGGTCCATTACTGCTACTAATTTGTTTGCTTTATGAAGGGACGATCTCACTTCATGCAGTTTACTGAGAGAATGAAAATACAACCTTTTTTCAAGGCTACTAATTAAAAACAACCTCGAAAACTGGCTATTTAAAAGAAGGGAAACTAGAGAACTGACTGCCTCAAAGATGTTTTTAATTGCACCTATATCTTTCTTGGAAAAAAAAGAAAAAAAACCTTAATGCCAAAGAATCATCTTTAAAAATAATAAGCGTGAGTTGTTATTGATAACTGATCTATTCTAAGCAGCATGGACTATCAAACTGTATAATAAATAAATTACATGTTAAAAGAGCCAATAGCATTTAATAATAGCTCTTGCAAATCATTTCCGATCTAGCCGATCAACCCACGCAGAGCGTTGTTCTCCTGCAGGGCATGAAGCAATGCAGGTTACTTCACGGTGAGAAAAGCAATTAGGCATCATGGTCTCGAATAGTTTGTAGAAAGTAGTCTTTTCCTTTGGTGTTAAACACTTCAAATGAGATTCAATGGTTAAATGTTGTTGTTTGAGAAGTTCGAATATGCGCTTACATCATTGTAATACCTTTCGTGGTATGTGCCATCGCTTGTAACAATGAATAATTAATGCTAAATGAGTAGACGTGGAGTGTCACTCTGCGGTGCATTAGGTACCTAAAACGTAGACACAATGGCGAAGCTGAGAAATAAAAATTGCAAAACAAGGACACACTTTTGTTGATAGAATTTTTACTGGTAGCTTCATATGTTTACCTACTATTTAGGCAGTCTCTTTAAAAGCGGTCTGATGATTTTCGGGTAAAAAATAATCGATTTCTTTCAAAATTTTCCCATTAATCTGTCCTACTCTAAAAAAAAA